TCTGCTATTGGTTTGCTTATAGCGACGTGATTAATTCCAATAATCTGGTTGCTGAGGCTGCTTGCCGGAATCTGCTTAGTTGGCAAGCTCCAATCGTCTACGCTGCTTGTAGATAGATCAATGCAAGGCTATAACCACTACAAGTTTGGCATTGGAATCAAGCACTCTCGTGTTACATGAAAATCATGGTGCTAACTCTTGTCGTCGTTGCGGCGTTTCTTCCTCAAATCATCATGGGACCTTGCCGTGCACCATATTGCTTTGCCTGCAGAGCCTGTGGAATCTACTGCACCTTTAATTTGAACGTCGTCGCGACACTCTTTTGCCGGTGATCTCTGTCGACCGTCGATGCTTATCTTTCTGAAACGACTCACGCCGTATACGGAGAGAGAGCTAGTGGAGGACATTATCTTTAGTACCAGTTGGTTGATCAATACAATCTTTAGTATCAGTTGGTGATACCAATCGGTACTAAAGTATTGATCTTTAGTACCGATTGGTGACACCAACTGATACTAAAGATCCCAGGGACCTGACACGGTCTGACAATATTTGTACCGGTGCTAAAAACGATCTTTAGTATCGGTTGGTAACAAAGATGGCAATGTGTCGTTCGGTGTTTTAACTAGGGTTAAAGACCTTCTTTAGCACTGGTTCGTTAAACATCCGAGATATTCGCTGTTTTTGCCGATCGAGCAAAGATCGGTTGTATAGTAGTGGTATGTATCCAAATTTTCTTTAGTAACAAACACATCCCATCGTTGATTTAGATTAGGACCAAATTCTTCGCAAAAAATAAAGATTACACTAGTAGGAAAATCATCTTTAATATCTGTTGAAAACCCTCATTAATCCTGATTGGTATGGTATATTCAATTCCAATATCTAGCAATCACCTGGAAAGAAGAAATATTGAATTTATTGTCAGATAAAATCAGAAGATCACATGTGTATGTATTGTGAGGAATTCGAGATTTACATGAAACTTCCTGCTCTAGATTAGCTAGGGCATGGCCTTTGGTTGACTGCTAACTGCCGCAGAGGTGGTGCAGATCGACCTACATAGGCCCTGTTCGTTTCTTCTGAAACAGTGCAGATAAAAAATAAACTTTCGTGGTACGCTTTTCAAACTCTCAAACGGTGCGTGAATACATAAATCTGTTTTCAATTTGATTAATCAGCTCTTTGTTTTGGCTGCGTGAAGATGGCATCAAAATTGAGTAAATGATTATCTGTATTTGCAAATCATTAACGACCAGGGAAAAAAAAATCAAACAATGCATCTAGTGCTTTGCAGGGAATATATAGAAAAGAAACAACACCATGGATTGAACACTGAGAGGAAGCGTCGGAGCAGTGGATCGATCTCTTGATGACCTAGGGTTGCGGGAGAAAGCGAAGATTAGACGCACGACTGGAGTGGAACGCACCCCCATCACTGCCTCGCAGAGAGAGTCCTCATCGCTTGTCGCGATGAAGTCCTCTTCATCTTCTCGTCTGTTAGGATACGAATGTGAGATGGATACGTGGAGATAGAACGATATCTATTATGATTGCTATATGCATGCTACGATGGGCTGTAACGTGGGTCCGAGGGCTTTTTTTCTTAACATAATATATATTGAATAAATATTATCTACGGTCATGATAACACGATTAACCTAACCAAACGCCAGATTTTTCTGATTAACGTGAGAGCTTCCTCAAAGTGTCCAATTAGTATAGGTATAGATAGATAGATATAGATTTAAAGCGAAATTTGATTCGTAATATGTCTCAGTCTGTTCTTTTTTACATGAAAATTGAATTAGCCTTACAACTCTAATATCTATTCATATTCGTTTAATCTCCACCGTTAAAATCTAGAACCACCATGATCTAACGGTCAATATTTTTTCTTTTATCACCCATTAATATGAGATTTTCTAGCCTCTAGAAAACGTGATGCCTTCTTTTAAGTTTATCTTAATAATATAATAGATAACATTCTGAAAAAAAAAATCTAACTGTCAGTTTTTATTTTAAGCGGTTACCCAATAATATTAGCCATTGATCAAAACTAAATCCCCCTCACCCTTACCTTCTGGACCCACACGTATGTACGTACGTACGCATATGTGAGCCCTATTGATGCCATCCAACTCCTGATTCTCTCTTTTTTTTTCTTAATTACACAATACATGTACATCATAATTTGTTATCATAAAATATTAGATATGTTTTTCATAGAGACTGAGCTGGGTGTGAACGTGCAAACGCGAGGAATTTACAATAGAAGTGATCTGGGGCTGTAAATAAACAATTATTTTTAGACAAACTACAGATTTAGTAGTTTATGATACACTTTAGCGACTATAGTCTTCTTAATGAAATCACCAATTCCACACCTATATTATATCTTATGTGTCATTTCTACCAACGTTCCTAAACCATCATGTGGCACTATCTAACCTCACCATCGATTTTCATTTACATTGGTAGACCAGATCTACATGTACTTAACTGTTGCAAAAGAAAACATAACTACATAAGTAGTGTACGTACGATTGAAAAAAAATAAAGCTTACGTACTTTCGCATGAAGAGAAAAAACCATACGCATATACGTAGAATAAAAAAGATAAAGCCCAAGAAAAAAATACGTACCATTAGGAAAAAATCGACGGTCTTTAAAATAGAATTTTTATATTGTAAAATAAAATACATTACTTCACAAATATACGCAAATATAAACTAGATCTATAATATAAATATCAAATATCAAATCAACGATCTTTAAACATTCATCTTTTAAATTATTTTTAAATTATATTTATATTCAATTTGTGATCCATTGTATGTATTTAATTTAATGAAATATTTATGTCAAATAAAAGTTATATTATGGCCCTAAATACATCATGACATATGGGGCCAACATATAATAATTAATGTTATCATAATTTTTAAATAATTTCACACTATACTTTAGGGTGTCAAATATCACTAGATAAATATACAACACCAATTTTAAATCTACATATGTAAAAATAATAAAAAAATAATTTAGTTGTATTTTTTAAGTAAATCTGATTTAATTTTAATTTGTTTTGAGATTAATTTCTCAAATTTTTTATTTGGAAATTTTCAAAACCATTTGATTGGTATTTAAGTAATGAGTAGCGTACATGGTACATTGGTACATAGATATGAAACAATATCAAAAATATTTCCTGCCAATGATTTTTGCTATAATACAACCCTTTATCCATCATAAATCGGTCGTATATGTATGTCTTCTTTACCAAATAATTTGGCAATAAATAAACAATCAAGTAACATGCGCAATAAACTACACATGATATATTTCCAAGGAATTCCAATATGTCAGGCATAATTGATGGATGTATGTCAAACACCCACCGACGTGACTATAAGTACACTCTCACGAATTAGTTATTGTAAATAAATTTGAAAAAAATAAATGTATTCTTTAAATTAGTAAAGGTATTTAATGTGATTATCAATAATAGGTGTTGAAAATAAACCAAGTGTTAAACTATAAATATTTATCAAAATATAATCAATAATATGGTGTTATGGAGATTTTTGTGGTGGTAAGTTTCTCTAGGTATACTTTTTTAGTAACATCGAATGATGAACCTCGCTCTTTTTTTTCCAAAAGAGAGTATTCTATGTATACTATAAAAATTGAGTAATGATGATTAACACCATAAATAAATTGTGTCTACTTTGTGTCACAAATCTACTCAAAGCTTTAAAAAACTATTTTGATCACCTTTATCTTCTCTTTGTCCTTTTTAAAGGGCACCAAGCATTAACAATAGAGTTTGTTACGCTAACATAAGTATAGTAGGAGCATACACATGGCTGAGTTGAGGTGGCCCCGTTGTACCAATGCAATACTCCATGAGGGTGTGATAGTAAATTAGACAATTAAATTATGCTTCATGATGGTCTTTAGAGGCACGGCTACATCGACGCGAGGGACTCATCTTTCAACGCAACAGAGAAAGAAAGTCTTGGTGGTTATAATCAGCTTCATCCATTAAAGAGACATTCATGTTTATCTTTAACGATGTTATTCCTTAATTGGTAGAAGTAATATTTTTATAATATTTATATATGGATTTGGAATTAAGTGAGACATGAATGCTTAGGTAAGTAGTAGATGTTTCAGTGTATCAGTGATGTATTAGGCTTATTTTATTGGTACATATGCAGTTTAAACTATTAATAGGTACTCAGCTTATAAAACAGTAATAATAAGTTGTGGTTACAATAGGAGAGTTTATATGTAACTGGGACAGAGCGATTCTTTTAAATCTAGGAGACATTCTTATCATTTAAGTATATTAAAGTCTACAATTTATCTCATGACATAAAAATAATGAGATATGACTTCTTTTAGAATTATTTTATAAATCATAAAATAATAAATAAATAAGATGCCCGCGCATCTGTGATGCATGGGCTTCCTTTCTAGTTTAATTAACAATTAGATTTTTTAATTAATGTGAGAGCTAATAGAAAATAGTACATGATTAGTATAAAGATATAGATAAATATATACGTCTATTTGACAAGCCTTTCAGTTGGCTTTGCTGGTGATCAAAAGCTTTGGGCATGCATCTGCCGCTTGTGCCAATCGCACCGGAAATTTGCACGTAGTGACTACGTTGATTCGTGGCCGTAGATGAGATCAAGGTTGCTTGTTCAAGTGATGAGATTATTCGATTCACTGTTCCTTTGGAAAAAAGAAAAGAAAATATTCGACTCGATGACCTCCCCGCCTACGCTTTGGTACATTTTCCTTGCTAGCTAACATTGGTCCCGGTTTGTATTGCTAGCTTGTTCATTTACGTAGAAACTTTATTTAGCATCTTGTTCAGCATATAGGTAGCTTGCACGCTACCATATAATACTCTTCCTGATCAATGGACTGTAGCTCGGGATCTCCACCTATAAATATTGCATCGATCAACTCAAGTTGTCATCCAAAATTTCGCTGATTTCTGCTCATTTCCAAACACATATACATTATTCACAGCTAGCACTGCAGTAATTAAGTAGCTAGCAGAGGGGCAGAGAGAGAGAGTGAGTGAGAAAGAGATCAAGATCATTATTATATATTGCATTTGATAATATATATATAATGGCGGATCAAACGCTGGGCGCCGTGGGGTCGCTGCTGGGTGTGTTGTCGAAGGTGGTGAAGGACGAGGCGAAGCTGCTGGGAGGCGTGGAGGGCGACATCCAGTTCATCAGGGACGAGATGGACAGCATGAACGGCTTCCTGGTGCACGTCACCAAGACGACCAACCACGACGACCAGCTCCGCGCCTGGATGAAGCAGGTCCGCGACATCACCTACGTCGCCGACGACTGCATCAAGCTCTACATGCGGGACGTCGTCCCGGAGGAGAAGGCTGGCCTCCGCGGCTGCCTCCTCCGCCGCGTGCCCAGCGTCTGCAAGCCCTACTGCTCGTTCCTCCACCGCAATCTCACGACCCGCGACCAGCTCGCGAGGAGGATCCACGAGCTCAAGGACCGGGTGCGCGAGATCAGCGAGAGGCGGCAGCGCTACGACGTCAAGCTCCCCGAAGGCGATGCGGTCCAGTCCCCGCCGGTGTCCCAGGACAGGAAGACGAAGGAGAAGAGGGACGAGTTCGTACGTGCCCTCGAAGATGGCCAGTCTCCTTTCCGAGACGCGGTCCGCAAGCTCTCCAGCGGTGATGGTGGTGCCCTGATCAGAGACCGTGCTGCTCCTGCACTCGTACGTAGCATCGTCGACACATGCATAACGAAGCTGGCCGATGACCATGACCGCATCATCAAGATGCTGCTTCGTTCTCTGTACGCCCATCCCTGTGGGACAAAAGAACTGGAGAACTTGTCCAACAAGCTCAGAGAAGGAGAAGATGTGGCCAAGCAAGTGATGCTTTTCTGCTACAGCAAGCTGTCTGTGCACTACAAGAGCTGCCTGCAGTATCTGATCACCTTCGAACTAGAGGAAAGCATCAGCAGGACAAGCTTGGTGAGGAGGTGGCTCGCCGAAGGCCTAGTGCTCAATGACCAACAACAACATGGGATAGATGATGATGAAAGCATGGAAGAGGCCGGTGAGCGCTGCTTCGATGATCTCCTGTTTCGGGGCTTCCTTTCTCCTGCCCCTGCACATCGTTTTCCGAGGACCGGCGGCCTCAAGCTCAAGTGCTGCGTTCTTGATGCTTCAGTCAAGACGTTCATCTACGATATGTCCACAAGCGAGAATTTTTTGGATGACCTGCCAACTCACCTTCGGCATCAGATTAATATCAGAAAGACGGCTCGGCGGCGGGAGCTGCCACAGAAGCAGCACCAGCACAAACTACGGTGGACGCAGTCGACCATCTGCTGCTGCTACTGCAGGGTTCCAAGAATAATGAAGGCAACAACAGCTGACGCTGGAGGCAGCAACATCAATGATCCGCTGCTGCCGCTTCACCATCCCATGGATGAGATAGTAACTCTCCTCAAAACCCTACCTCCGGAGTACCGTCTCAATGTGCTGGATCTAGGAGGTTGCCTTGGGTTGAAGATGAGCCACCTAAAGAACATCTGCAAGCTGGTGCCGTCGCTCAAGTATCTGAGCCTCCGGAAGACCAATGTTTCTCAGCTTCCAAAGAAGATGAACCGACTCCTGCATCTGGAGACGCTCGACATCAGGGACACCAACGTGCGGGGTGCAGCTATGAGGGATATCTTCCTCAATGAGCTGAAGCATCTCCTTGTCGGCCGCATATTTATTCCTGATGCTGCCGCCGGCGACAATGAGGCATCAGCACTACTCTCCACCGTGCTGATGCCTCCTAAGATCAGCAAGAACACGGAGATATTGCGCCATATCCAGATCAAGGATGGCCCAGAAGCCCAGCTCCAGCTTTCGCATGTCGCGTCTCTGGATGGGCTAAGGAAGCTGGGGGTGGTCCTCGACGGCAGGGAAGATAACATCAAGCTTTTGCTCACCACAATTGCCAGGCGGAGCGATACCCTGCGATCACTATCAGTCTGGATCACCGAGCCGCCGCCGGAGCACAGTGTCACTGGTGAACGCCACGGCGTTTTCGTGACTCTCGACCACAAGGAGAAGGCGACCACATTGTTCTCGCATCCCAGTAAACTTGAGAGCTTAAACCTCAAGTGCTACAAGGGAAAAAACAACAACAACAACTACAATATTCCTCCATGGATCATAAGCCTCCAAAAGCTCTCCAAGATCACTCTACGTCACAGCTTACTTTCCAGAGGTGGTCTGAGAGAGCTTGGCAAGATGAAGAGCTTGCGCTGCCTCAAGCTCCGTCAGGAATCATATATCGAAGCCGACGTCACCGTGAAGTACGGGGAGTTCGAGGACCTCAGGCTTCTTGTGATTGATAAGATCTCCAACAAGATGACCAAACTTGTCTTCGAAGAAGATGCAGCTCCCAAGCTGGAGAAGATTGTCTGGAACTTCGACACGATGACAACGCTGATGGGGATCACGGTAAACAACATCAAAGGGATCGAAAATCTTCAAAACTTGAAGGAGCTATGGATCAACGGCGTCAACATACCGTTTCCTTCAAGATCCCGTGAATGGAAGGATATAACCACAGTTCCGCAGAAATTATGGAGGCACACTTTTGGACCGGTAATTGAAAGCTTAGCATCTGAAAGCTGAGACGTTTCTTCTACCTCCATCCTGTAAGGTGAGCTATATATGTTCTTTCTCTCATCCGCGATTGAACTCATCGATGAGCCTCCTCCATGCCACATTTGCCTTCTCCGTCTGTCTGCTAGTGCCACCATATCCATTGCCACCCCTTGATCTCTCACCTGCTGCCTCCTAACCACTATGTTTACCTTATTCCTGTTGCTGACCCTGCCCACCATGGATTCACCCACCCACCAGCAGCTACATGAGCCGCTGGATATATATCACTCCAATGAAGTGTCTTATATATAAGAATTTCTCATCAGTTCCCTGAGAAATAACAAAGCCGGAAGAAAAAAGACCGATCTATCGCTGATGCACTACTTAATATCCTGCCTATGTTTTTTATGTGAATTCTGTAACGTGATGCCATGTCTGTGTGTGTTGCTGTTCAACATGACAATGTATATATATCATGCATGTACTTATCGCACCTACTGAAATATATACTGTAATGTATTGGAGTCACCACTAAAAATTGACCGGGTTCTAGTATATACCTAATCATATTCATTGAGAAGAAAAGGGAGTAATCTTCCGTAATCAATGAAACTAACTGAGTGGCTGCACAATTGGATGGCTAGCACCTATACAAAATTATTTATTTTTAATATGATTTTACTTAAAATTTGTTAAATAGCTATCTCGTTGTTTTAGGACTTAAAAGACCGAACCTTATCATTCCCGGGTTTCTAATTTTATAGTTTTTAAAAGTCACATTAGTCGTTACCCCTTACTTCTTTGTCATCTTTTATTTGCTTGCTTAATCTACCATAATTTTTATTTATCCTCCTTAAACCTTTAAAAATTGGAGCTTGTAGTTTTTAGATTTCATTGTCTCGTTGGGTTTTTTTTATAATTTAGAAGTCCCATCAAACATCGTCATTGTACTCCTCTATGGCACGTCCGTTGCCTCCTCTCTTTCTTATCATTAAGATATTAAAAATCGAACATAATTATCGTTGGGTTCATTTTTAACTTTCTTCCGCCAACCACCAGTGGCTTCGCCATTGTACTCCTTTGTAGCCTGTTTATTATCCCCACTCTTTATTGTCATTGAGATTTTAAAAATTCAACATGATTATCATTGAGGTTTACTTTTTACGTTTTAGAAGTCCCGTTAACCGCCATGACCGTGCTACTTAACAGCCTGACCATCATCCCTCCTCTTAATCGTCATTGGATTCTATTTGGATTTTGTTTATTGTTTTTAGATGTCCCATCAACCTTCATCATCCTACTCCTTTACGAGCTGTCTCATTTTATTGTCATTTGTTGTAATTGTGTTTTGGATGGATTTTTTTTCGAAAAATCCATATTTTCATTCCGATATTTTTTTATTTATAAAATATATTTCTAATTGAACTCTTATAATTATTTTTTTATTTTTGGACTTTATTTTATTTTTTTATTTTGAGTTTTACTTAATCTCATGTTGTGTTCTACATGATCTCTTTTTCTCAATAATTTTTATTTTTTATTTTAAATTTTAGTTATTTATAAATTATATTCTTAGTTGAAATTTTTTTTAATTTCAGAAATTATTTTATTTTTTATTTTGAATTTTAATTAATCTCGTATAGATAGTACGTTGCAAAGCTCCAATTTCTTTTTTCAGTCCGATTTCATGTTAGTATGAAAACCTATGTCCTTTTGGTTTTTTATTTAGAATCCTTATCGTATACAATTTTATTGATTTATCAACCATACTATCAATATATATTAACTCAATCGTTAAAATCTTGATCTAGTATGATATAATGGTTAATATTTTTTCTTCGATTAAAGTGATGATTTGTAGCTTCTAAAACGAACGTGATGGTTTTTTTAGCTATCTTAATAATATAAACAAAAGATAGATTTTTAGTGGATGGATTCTGATCTAGTTGCGCGTAGCTCAGGACAATCAGATTGCGCGTCAGTAACTTATGCTTGTCCCATAGGCACAATAAGCATATTTCTAAACTGAGATCTATTTTTTTGTGGTGGTGCCCTGTATTGAGTACAGCCACTCGGATCCAGCTCATCCATGCCTCGTATTTCTCGTCTTTCAGTAAAGGATGCATATTGTATACGTGTGAATTGATCTCTAATTTTTTCAGTTTCTTCAGCGTGGCAGAGCATCTAGATGTAACCTTTTTCAAGAATATACATGTTCTTTTGGTTGGTGTTTATTGGGAACCGGACACCAAATCATACCTGAACAGATTTCTTTTGGAGGTGTGTCACGACAGATTCTACCTCACGTACATGTATTTGTTTCCGATTCTAAATAAAGGATGCAAAATCAAAACTTATACGCATGTTCCTATAAATCTATATATCCCGTTAGATTTAATGTACAACTCTAAAATTTTATTTTTATAAAAATCATTATAATAAAAATATATTTGGATTTATATACAACTCTTAATTTCTATTTTTATAAGGTCTGGATTTCATATACAACTCTTAACTTTTATTTTTATAGATATAATTGTATTTTAGATACAACTATATCAATCAATTTATACCGTTATAATTCGGACCCATCACGATCAAATGGTTAAAATCTTTTTTTTATTTTTCTCTGATTAATGTAGGAATTTTTAGCCTTCACACTGAACGTAATATTTTTTTCAAGGCTATTTTAATAATATAATAGATAGATTAAGAAGAAAAAAGTGAAAGCGTAGTATAGAGACATGTAGTGCTGCATATGCAGATGATTGTATTGAGCTGAGCCTCATAAATCGAGTATCCTAATGAGCGATCAATCGCTGGGATAAAAGCCGAGCAATTAGTTTTCCCCTTTTTGTTTCCGGCCCAACCACCGGCGAAAAAGCTACCGCGCGATCGGTCGCACGTAGTGATCAGGCCTCCTCTCCACGTTGCTTCCTTTTTTGGCACCGCATTACTTTCCTGTTTCAGTAAATTTATACACCTAAAGTTTGTATACCTCAAGTTTACACATCTAAAATTTATACTAAAGTTTGTATACCCAAAGTTTATATACCTAAAGTATACACAACTAAAATTTGTATACCTAATGTCTATATACCTAAAATTTATACACAGAAAGTGTATACACCTAAAGTTTACACACTTAAAGTTTATACGTTGAAAGTTTATATGTCCAATTCAGATTATGGATTTAACTCAAATGTTTGACAGATAAATGTTTTATGTGTACAAAGTTGCCATGCATATAAATCTATACACACGAAGATTTATACATAAGAATATTTCTGAGTATATAGTAGATTTTTTTATTTAGTTAGTATTTTTTAACTTATTGTTCGATTTAGTTTGTAATATATCAGTGGACCCATGTGGAGCGACAACCACGCAACAGGGGAGATGCGTAGAGATTTGTTTTAGTTTGTAATTTTATCGATGGGCCCACGTGAAGCGGCAACCATGTAGCAGGGAAGACATGTAGCGATTGGGGACAAACCGAGCGATCGCGTGCGTGGGCCTTTTTCTATTTTGCCGTTTCCTGATCACTTGCGTATCAGAGGACCCCTCATAAATGATATATAAACCTCTTCAAGGCCTCCACCTAGGAATTTATTGTTTTTTACTGTGCATCTAGACACCGGCTGCTTCTTCTTTCCATCAGAAACGTCACATACGTGAGCATACGCGTTCCTAGATGAACATGAAAATCCGTAATATATATATATATATATATATATATATATATATATATATATATATATATAATACTTCTTTCTTCTCAAAATAAATATAATTAAATTAAAGTGTTATACTTATTTTGAGACAAAAAATATGTAAATACACAAAAGCCAATCATAACCGGCCATCCACCTAGCCAATCGGGCCTCTGTACACCGTTCGATCAGGCTTTGTGCAGCAGGCTAGATTGAGTGTATCAGCTACTCCTGGCGAAGTATACTACTGTGTTCCTCTACAAGAGGCACAAGTTGATAAAAGAAATTGCGTTGCAATCAATGAATCGAACAAACAAGAAACTTTTGAGATGCACCGGAGTATGTTTGGACCTTCACCGAACATATCCCTTTCGTTTAAAAAAAACTAACCTAAACACAATCTAATACAATAAATTTAAACAATTTTATTCAAATTTATTGTATTAAGTTTTGTTATATTTTTATTTCGTTATATTTTTTTAAGAAGAGAGGGAGTACCTGAGTCCTGAGAGCATGCATACAGCCATGCACATCAGTGTCTCGAGAAACGAAGTGCTAGATTCGGCTAAAAAGCTACTCCATCGATCAGCTTTAGGAACAGTACGGATTAATTAGTGATGCACATGCACTTCAGATCAATCTGTCACTTCGTTTTGTTTGGTTCGTGTAAAACAGTGTCACTTTTCTTGATCCTCTGCTGAATTCCATCGGAACATATACAGAACGGACAGTGCCAATTACCATGGTCGCCATGCTCCAGGCCACCAGGCCAGCCATTGCTTTTGCAGACGTTCAACTGAAATTCGATCAGATTCACCGGCAGACATTTAAACCTGAAATACGCAGAGATTCACCGGATCGATCGAGCTATATTTGAGGCTTTCGATCAGCATGCAGCTGCACCTGGATCAGCTATATTTGAGCTATATTCGGCCTTGCATTTCAGGCCCAGTTCTAAATCTAAATGGGCCTATTATGTTCTTCCTCGAGGCGTAATTTAGACCTCCGTTGCTCGGTAACCTCCGTTGCACTTGCACGTAGTTTGTGGTTGAGTGCTATATATATACGAGGAATTGACTTTGCTGGTCAAAGCAACAGGTGAATTTGCAAGTCTGGCCCTTCATAAATTTGCGCGCGGTCTGACACATTTAAGAACTTGAGGAATAGTGATCGATTTTCTGCTTTGTTTCTTAGACATGCACCGATCGACGCACGTACGTGCACTGTAAGCGCTACCGCAGTTCGATAATAGAACATTTTTATCATTTTGAAGAAGGTATCGTATTTTTTATAATAAAAATATGGTATCTTTAGGTATTAGCTAAAATTTTTAATGTAAAATATTGATGCCTGAGATATTTTATCAAGGATTGGTAAAATTTTCCTTGATATTTTTTGTAATGTTTCGGTTCATTTTTTGTTCCATCACGTAAACGCAGATGAGGAAGTCTGAAACCTGCGTGTTGTTATCATTGACCAATCAAATTGAAAAGTACTTTGCTTACTTTTCATTTTGTTAATTTGTTTCGCACGGAAATAAGCTGGCAAAGTTATTAGAAGGAAACACGATCGAAATGTCATGAGTTATTAGAAGGAAACACGATCGAAATTCTCGGTATAAAAATTACTAGAAAAAGACAGTCTGGCAAGTTATATTTTAGTCAGAAAGGTTATATTGAAAAATTTCTTTGTCGTTTCAATATACATGATACAAAACCAGTGAGTACTCCTTTAACTGCACATTTCAGATTATCTTCAGATTTATGTCCACAATCAGATTATGATGTTGAATACATGTCTAAAGTTTCATATTTAAGTGCAGTTGGTTCACTTATGTATGTCATGGTATGTTCTTATCTACTATTGAAGCGGAGTATATGTTTATTTTTGAAGCTTTTTAAAGAAGCTATTTGGCTTAAAGGTTTGTACACTGAGCTTTGTGGAGTTACGTCTTGCATTAATATATTTTGTGATAGTTAAAGTACAATATGTCTTACAAAATATCAGATGTTCCATGAGAGAACAAAACACATTGATGTGAAATATCACTTTATTCGAGATGTGATTACTTAAGGTGATGTCAAGATATGCAAGATAAGTACTCGTGATAACCTAGCTGATATGATGACAAAACCAGTTCCTGTTATTAAGTTTAAGCTTTGATCAAACTTAGTTGGTGTTACAGTATAGTCCTAGAGACTATTTGGCACATGGTGATTTTACCATCTACGGTGCTCCTCTTGTCGTCAAGAGTCACGAACACGCTCTGGCGGCGGCACCTTGATCCAGACTGACAGAGATCGTAGTGTATCGCTCCGCCTAGCGATTGTGGTGAGCAAAAGCATGATGTTATCTTCTCTGCAGCCGAGGACCGAGCACACCCAGCTTCCTTAGCCGCTCCAGAGACGCGACATGAGAAAGCTGGAGCTGGGCTTCTGGACCATCCTTGATCTGGACATGGCGCAATATCTTCGTGTTCTTGCTGATCTTAGGAGGCATTACCACGGTGGAGAGCGCTATTGCCTCATTGTCGCCAGCGGCATCAACAATGATGTCACCAGCAAGGAGATGCTTCAGCTCATTGAGGAAGATATCCTTCATCGCATCACCTTGCACTTTGGTCTGCCTGATGTCGAGCGTCTCCAGATGCAGGAGGTTGTTCATCTGCTTGGGCAACTGGGAGATGTTCATCTTCCGGTACTTTAGCGAGCGCAACAGCTCACAGATCTTCTTGAGGTGGTGCATGTTCAAGGCGAGGCAACCCCCTGAACCAGCACGTTGAGTCGATACTCTGTAGGTAGGCCTTTGAGGAGAGTTACCATCTCATCCATGGGATGTTGCAGCTGCAGAAGCAGACCATTCTTGCCTGATCCGCCATCGGCAGCCATCGGGCGGCCACCGTCGCCGGCGGCGGTGGCGGCTGCCTTCCTTCTTGGAATGCCGCAGATGGTCGACTTCGGCCACCATGGTTTGTGCTGCTCCGGTGACGGTTGTCGTCGAGCCATCTTCCGGATGCTAATCTGATGTCAAAGGTGGGTTGGCAGGTCATCCACAAAATTCTCGCTTCTAGACATGTCGTGGATGAACTTCTTGACTGAAGCATCAAGAACGCAACACTTGAGCTTGAGGCCGCCGGTCCTCGGAAAACGATGTGTAGGGGCAAGAGAAAGGAAGCCCAGAAACATGAGCTCATCGTGTGAAATGATATGTACGTGCACTGCATGCATGCATGCAGCATGCTATAATGGCGCAGCTGCTTCACCTGGTTTGTTAGGATTAGATTTCTCTCTCCGAATCTGTTCTATCTTCTTATCACTTGTAACTGAATATTGTAAGCCACGGTAGAGGCTATTTCTACCACTATTTAACAAAGGTGCGGCCCGAGGTAAAGGGTTTAACGCTTCATATTGTATCACATAGTATCAGAGCGATTTTCACCTCGGTAGATCGCATCTATCATCCACCACCCATGGCGTCGTTGTCTTCCTCAGGCACAGCAGCCGTAAACCTTTCCCAAGGCCATTCCATCTCCGAGAAGCTCGGAAAAGGCAACCACGCGCTATGGAAAGCGCAAGTGAGTGCTGCAGTACGCGGCGCCCGACTCCAGGGCTATCTCACCGGCGCTGTGAAAGCTCCAGACGCCAAAATCTCGGTCACCACAGATGGAAAGACCGTGACAAAGCCGAACCCGACATTTGAAGATTGGGAGGCCAACGATCAACTTGTTCTTGGCTATATCTTGTCATCCCTCTCAAGAGATGTCCTGATTCAAGTCGCCACGAGCAAGATGGCAGCTGAAGCATGGCGAGCTATTGAAGAACTCTACTCCAACCGCACGCGCGCAAGAGCAGTGAATACCAGACTCGCCCTCACCAACACGAAGAAAGGAACGATGAAGATCGCTGAGTATATCGCCAAGATGCGTGCTCTTGGTGATGAGATGGCTGCCGGCGGTCGTCCTCTTGATGAATAAGATATGGTCCAGTACATCATCGCCGGGCTAGATGAAGACTTCAGTCCTATCGTCTCCGCACTCTGCACCAAATCTGATCCAATCACGGTTGGGGAGTTGTGTTCGCAACTTCTCAACTTTGAAACCCTCCTTGATCTCTACCGCAGCACTGGTCAAGGAGGGGCTGCCTTTGTCGCTAATCGCGGCAGGGGCGGCGGCGGCGGTGGCGGACGCGGCGGCAACAACGCCACCAACAACTCCAACGGCGGCGGTGGCAGGGGTGCACCACGAGGACGTGGTGGCGGCCAGATACGTGGTGGCCGAGGGCGCGGCACAGGAGGCCAAGACAGGCGTCCAACCTGCCAGGTTTGCTTCAAGCGTGGGCATACCGCAGCCGATTGCTGGTATCGCTTCGACGAGGACTACGTTGCGGATGAAAAACTGGTTGCTACTGCCACTAACTCGTATGGTATAGATACAAATTGGTATATTGATATAGGTGCTACAGATCACATTACCGGCGAGTTAGAGAAGCTTTCCACCAAGGAGAAGTACAACGGCAGCGAGCAGATTCACACTGCTAGTGGAGCAAGTATGGATATTAGCCACATTGGTCATACTACTGTTCATACCCCTAGCCGTAACATTCCTCTAAATAATGTTCTTTATGTTCCTCAAGCCAAGAAAAGTCTTGTATCTGCTAGTCAATTAGCCGCTGATAATTCTGCTTTCCTTGAACTTCACTCGAAATTCTTTTCTATAAAGGATCAGTTCACGAGGGACATTCTGCTTGAAGGGAGATGTAGGCATGGTCTCTATCCAATCCATAAGCCCTTTGGCCAATCAACCAGCAAACAAGTCCTTGGCGCCGTCAAGTTACCTCTGTCCAGGTGGCATAGCCATCTAGGACATCCATCTCTTCCCATTGTTAAGCAAATTATTAGCAAAAATAATCTCCCATGTTTAGCTGAGTCAGTCAATCAGTCTGTGTGTAATGCTTGCCAAGAAGCAAAGAATCATCAGTTACCTTATGTTAGATCTACTAGTGTGTCTCAATTTCCCCTTGAACTTATGTTTTCTGATGTTTGGGGTCCTGCCCCAGAGTTAGGAGAAACAAATATTATGTGAGTTTTATTGATGATTTTAGTAAGTTTACCTGGATATACCTGCTAAAATATAAGTCTGAAGTTTTTGAGAAGTTTAAACAATTCCAAGCACTAGTAGAACGAATGTTTGATAGAAAAATCTTTGCCATGCAGACTGATTGGGGGAGAGAATATCAGAAACTCAATTCCTTTTTCTCACAAATAGGAATTGATCATCATGTATCTTGTCCTCACACCCACCAACAAAATGGGTCCGCTGAGAGAAAACACCGTCATATTGTTGAAGTAGGCCTCTCGCTTTTATCTCATGCATCTATGCCTCTTAAATTTTGGGATGAAACTTTTGTTGCAGCCACCTATCTCATTAATCGGGTTCCAAGTAGAGTGATTCATAATCTTACACCCCTAGAAAAATTGTTTAATCAAAAACCAGACTACTCATCTCTCCGTGTGTTTGGTTGTGCTTGTTGTCCTCATCTCCGTCCTTACAATACTCATAAACTCCAGTTTCGTTCCAAACAATGTGTCTTTCTGGGTTTTAGTACTCATCACAAAGGCTTTAAGTGTCTTGATGTCTCGTCAGGACGTGTCTACATCTCTAGGGATGTCATCTTTGATGAGAATATTTTTCCTTTTTCCACCCTTCATGCAAACGCAGGAGCGAGGCTGAAATATGAGATTTTATTGTTACCATCTTCCTTGACAAATTACACGGCTAATATAGGGGGTGTACATGTGGTTGAACCAGTGGTTAATACTCCATTGCCTAGTGGTGCAGAATTAAATCCTGATGCTACTAATAATTTTTCTAGAGAAAACAGTGCTGCAAATGAGCAGGGAACCCAGCCGGAAATTAACATGGAGAGCGCTGGCCACGAGGCGCCAGACACTGACAATCTATCCGCATCGGCGTCTGGGCCGGACCAGGGAGCTGACAACCCTGGCGCTGTCTCTGGCGCCTCTGGGAGCGACGGGGGCGAGGCGTTGATTATGAAGACACTTTTAGCCCTATTGTTAAAGCTGCTACTATTAGAATTATTTTGTCTATTGCTGTCTCTAGAGGATGGAATCTTAGACAACTAGATGTTCAAAATGCCTTTCTTCATGGGTTTTTAGAGGAAGAAGCATGCAACAACCTCCTGGTTTTGAGTCTTCTTCTAAGCCTAACTATGTATGTAAGTTGGACAAGGCTTTGTATGGGCTAAAGCAAGCACCACGAGCATGGTATTCAAGTTGAGTAAGAAACTCATTGAGCTTGGTTTTGAAGCCTCTAAAGCAGACACCTCATTGTTCTTTCTTAATAAAGGAGGAATAACTATGTTTGTGTTGGTTTATGTTGATGACATAATTGTAGCTAGCTCTACAGAGAAGGCAACAACAGCACTCCTGAAGGACTTGAACAAGGAATTTGCACTCAAGGACCTGGGTGATCTACACTACTTTCTTGGAATCGAGGTAACAAAAGTGTCTAATGGTATACTTTTGACTCAAGAAAAATATGCCAATGATTTGCTAAAGAGGGTAAATATGTCAAACTGCAAGCCAGTTAGTACTCCTCTTTCTGTTAGTGAAAAATTAACTCTATATGAAGGGTCACCATTGGGGCCCAATGATGCAACTCAGTATAGAAGTATAGTTGGTGCTTTACAATACTTGACTTTGACTAGGCCTGATATAGCTTATTCGGTAAATAAGGTTTGTCAGTTCCTTCATGCTCCCACAACTGACCATTGGACAGTAGTGAAAAGGATACTTAGATACCTAAACCAGTGCACAAGTCTAAGACTTAATATACATAAGAGTGCTTCTACTCTTGTTCATGGATATTCAGATGCAGACTGGGCAGGTAGCATAGATGATAGAAAATCAACAGGAGGGTTTGCTGTTTTTCTGGGTTCTAATCTTGTGTCATGGAGTGCAAGGAAACAACCTACTGTGTCAAGGTCAAGTACAGAAGCAGAATATAAGACTAGAATATAAGGCTGTAGCAAATACTACGGCTGAATTGATATGGGTTCAAACCTTAGAGAATTGGGAATTGATTCTCCTAAATCTGCTAAAATTTGGTGTGACAATTTGGGAGCCAAATATTTGTCGGCTAATCCTGTGTTCCATGCAAGGACTAAACATATAGAAGTTGATTATCACTTTGTAAGAGAGCGTGTATCACAGAAATTGCTAGAGATTGATTTTGTTCCTTCAGGATATTAGGTTGCTGATGGTTTTACAAAAGCTCTGTCGGTTCGTCTTCTTGAAAATTTCAAACATAATCTTAACCTGGCCAGGCTATGATTGAGAGGGGCTGTGAAATGATATGTACGTGCATGCATGCATGCATGCAGCATGCTATAATGGCGCAGCTGCTTCACCCGGTTTGTTAGGATTAGATTTCTATCTCCGAATCTGTTCTATCTTCTTATCACTTATAACTGAATATTGTAAGCCACGGTAGAGGCTATTTCTACCATTATTTAACAAAGGTGTGGCCCGAGGTAAAGGGTTTAACGCTTCATACTGTATCACACATCGAAGCAGCGCTCGCCGGCCTCTTCCATGCTTTCATCATCATCATCATCTAGCCCATGCAATATTTATAGGTGGAGATCCCGAGCTAGAGTCCATTGATCAGAAAGGCTAGCAGCTATATATGAGTAGCGTGCAAGCTAGCTATATGCTCAACAAGATGCTAAAGTTTCTAGTACAGATCGAACTAGATGCACAAGCTAACAAGACACACAAACCAATGCTAAGAAAACGTACCAAAGCGTAGGCTGCAGTTCATCGAGTCGAATATTTTCCTTTTCTTTTTCCAAAGGAACAGTGAATTGAATAATTTCATCACCCTATACAACCACTTGAACAAGCAACCTCGATCTCATCCACGGGCACGATCGATCGATCGACGACAGCTTTGATTGTTACCTTGAGAATTTTTTTTGTACAAGTCACCGGAGGGGAGAGTTTCCCCACCTGAATTTCATTGATCAAAGAGTGCGAAAGTACATAGGGTGTACATAGGGGGGTACAATAGGTTTTCAGAGTTACAGGGAGGTGAAAATACATGTTCCCACTGAGCCGTTACAGACCTGTCTTCGATTTTCAATCGTTCTGCCCAAAGTCTAGATTCTTGTCTACAACGCCTGATCATGGTGTCCAGTGAAGGCTGCCGATTTCGGAAGACAAGGTCATGCCGGTTGTTCCAAAGAGCCCAGAAGCAAAGGAGGTAGAAAATTGCGTGGTGCTTTGAAGGTAGACAGGTAGTCTTGGGTGAGGCTGAAGCATGCAAACATTCTGGACATTGGAGAGAGCAGGATTGATTCCTATCCTCTTTCCCAGAAGCTCTTGGCGAACGGGCAGGTTAGGCAGAGATGAGTGGCCGTTACCTTGAGATTTCGGTGTCACCGAGAGCCATTCCAGTTGAACTGGTGAATAAATGACAGCGGCCACGGAGGGAGTCGGCGTTTAAAACTCCGAGCCCCCCTGCTGTAGCCGCGAAATGACAGCCATGCTGATCAAGTAGACTGGTAACTGAGTGAGGTAGCTAGAGGCTGACCATCGTGGTGGTGATGGTGATACATCACCGAGGCGCAGCACCGCGATCGACCACCAGGTCCGGATGGACGTGGATGAAGCACGTCGTCGCCGGCCAAAGCCGCGACTGCGAGGTCTGCGTCGAGCTCTACCTCCAGTACGTCGTCAATTTGATCATATGTTGCTCTCGTGGTTCTGTTCGGTTCTAGCTTATATATCTATCACAACCTGCAGATCACGTTTCAAAAAAAAAAGAAAAAACCAACAAACCTGCAGATCAACAAATCTTAGTTCTGAAACTCCTGCATATTCTTACCAAGTACATTAACAACCAACAACAGATTACTTTCTGCTTTTTTTACTTCTCGTTTTGTTTGGCTCGTCTCTAAAATACTGTCACTTCACTTCTCTCCTCTGCTGAATTTCATCAGTTGCAGAACATAGAACTGACAATCACCATGGCCGCCATTGCTCCAGGCCTTCCAGCCATTGCTCACCACCGACGCCG